TTTCGCTACTCGATGACTATTACTAATAGTCCCCTAGTAGCGTAGCCAATCAAAATGCAGGATTTGCATTAGTCCACTAGTTGGGTGATACTAATATAATATAGTTTATCAGGTCCAACTGATCTTAGCCTGTGAATGGAATCTCTAGTCGAGGAGGGTGTCCGGAAAACCCGAATAGCGACTAGTGAACAGCGAATAGTCCCGAATAGCGAATAGCGAATAGTACGAATAATGGCGAACAGTCTCGAATAGTGGCGAATAGTGGAAAATAGTGGCAAATCGTACCAAATAGGGTACCCAGTATCTCGCAGTCAACCTCGCAGCAACGTATAGGATGGGATTTTCCCGCTAAAAAGCACAGACGCTCATCAGGACAAAAGGTGTTTCTAAACGTGATTTCTTCTGTTTTAACCGCTGCAAAAGCGTAAATACGTCTTTATTAGGTTATGCTTGTATTTTCTGTTTTCTCAATGTCGGCGATGGACAGCCCTAGTCTGAGTCCGGAGAAGAAGAGGTAATAAATTCACTGAAATTCTGTTGCTTAGTTGGATAATTAATTAACGCAGGATATTAGATCTAAAGCGGTGACTATTGACGGCTATTCGTCACTATTCGCCACTATTCGCCACTATTCGCCACTTTTCGCGACTGTTCGCCACTATTCGCACTATTCGACACTATTCGCACTATTCGGGACTATTCGCTATTCGCTATTCGCGACTATTCGCTATTCGGGTTTTCCAGACACCCAGTCGAGGATGGGGCGAAGAACAAGCGGGAAAGAAAGAGGAGAGAAGAGAGAGGCCTTTCTGACTCTCACTGCCAGTTCCTTCTTTGCCCTTTCAGCCGACCCTTCCAGCCGGAGCCCGTTCACAGGCTAAACTGATCCTCGTTGGTTTCCTGTTGGTTAACGCCAGGCGTAGTCAATCGATAAACCGAGTGTATCGATTGATTTCCGATATCGATTTCTATCGATTGACTACGCCTGGGTTAACGTCTGTTTCCGTTTCCGCGTGGATGATTTATGGCAGGTTTAGTTTTGGTAATCGTATGAATGCGATTACGCTTAGAGATTTATACCACGAGTGATATTTGGAAATTCTCTCAAAATTGCAGAAGCCCACCGGCGAGTGTAGGGAGGCACGTCGGCCTTATGGTTAGTGTCCAGAACTCGCGATCGAGGTCCGGGTTTGAGCTCTTGCCGGGGACATTGTTTTTGTGTTCTTGGGCAGGACACTACTCTTACTGTGCCTCTCTCCACTCGGGTGTATGAATTGGTTCCGGCGAATTTGATGCTGGGGGTTAAACCCTGTGATGGACTAGCATCCCATCCAGGGGGTAATAGAAATACTCCTGAAACTGGAGATAAGCGCCGGCCTGATGGGCCACTTCACCTTTACAACAGTCTTGCAGACCTCACCTTTTAACCTTATCTTAGGCGAAAACATTTTCAAGTATAGAAAATTACGAACGCGTGTGCGTGAATTTTCACTGTCAGTAGTGCAAAGGAATGACGATAAATTGTCCTGCTCTCAGGTAATCATCATGAAATAATTTTCTTAGTCATATAATAGCATGTTATATTAATGAATCAAGTACAGTGGTTTGACCCCAATGATTCAAACCCTCGATTATTCAACCCTCCCCGCTCCCTTTTCCGAAACAAGTTTTTGCCCCTTTGAATAAAAAATTAGAAGAAATTTATTAAACCTCCTGATATGTTAAACCAATATGTCTAAAACTTTCAGTTGTTTTTTTCAGCTTCCTTATTGATGCCATCGTCCGCTTCCACGGCCGTTGCGTCATCAGCTTCATTGGCACCCGTGATCTCTTTAACAACAACCGTAGCAGTTGCACCATCCCCATCTAGTTTTCTTATGTTAACTTCGGTTAGAACAAAGGTCTCCTCCTCTGCCCCTGCCACGGTATCACCAAGGGTGTCACCAAGTAATACCCAGACATCCTCCGTTTCGCCGAGTGCATTTTCTGTGAGTTCCTCCACCACTGTTTCACCAGCTGGCAAGCCTGGAAACTCAACAAATCTCATTACTCCTACTTCCTCGTCACTTGTTAGAACACAGGTCTCCTCCTCTGCCCCTGCCACGGTATCACCGAGGTTATCACCAAGTAATACCCAGACATCCTCCGTTTCGCCGAGTGTATTTCCTGTGAGTTCCTCCACCACTGTTTCACCAGCTGGCAAGCCTGGAAACTCAACAAATCTCATTACTCCTACTTCCTCGTCACTTGGTGGAAGTGCGTCGGCATCACCTGGTAAGTTCTGCTGTAAAATTGTAACACTTTTGGCTTGTCACGCAAAAGCTCCTTGGCGCGGGCCTGTGTTTCATTTTCAGCTAAATGTAAGTGGTTTCCAAACCCACACTGTAAACAGTATGCACGAGCCCGATCGTGCGCCATGTATTTGCGTGTCAATCATGGTTATATGGGACACGAAACGCAAAATATAGATTTTTGCAGTCTTATAGTTACCTGTAAGCAACTGGTGGGTAGCTGATAATGTAGACTGTTCACAGCCTCTGATCTACTTTTCAACGCACGCGAAAGAAAAATCGAGCGAAATGATCGAGTGTCAAGTCTCCCCTTTTTGCGGTGGCGTCCAGTTCTCTCACGATTCTATCTTCGCGTTTAACGATCAAATAAAAATACGAGATCGAGAAAATAGAGGGCTGTGAACAGTCTGCTGATGATCTTGCGTAACAGACACTCAGAGAAAAAAAATACGTTCGTTCTTTAGGAAGTAACTAAGTTGATTTCTAAACGAATTGAATTGATACTCCCCTAAAGTGCTTAGTTTTGTAGACTGAGAACAGTTTCGTATGGCCCGTAGTTGAAAAGTATGACCCAAGTTAATTCCATCTATAAGCTCAATAGGCACAAGCAGTTATAATTCTCTAGCGCGGTATTTGGCTAAAGATCTACTACATTTGTCAAAAAGTAACCCGGTTGTTTCAATTCTTACTTAGTTGTATCAGCTGCGCGAGATTACGAACTATTACAACGCGCTGAACAAACTCTTTTCTTACTTCAGACGGTTATAGGAACAGCACTGTACGTTTAAATGATCTCTTTCTACGTTAGGCTCGATTAGCAGTCGCTGATGCAGAAAGGAGCCCTCGCTCCGAACTCGAGAGAGTGGCCTAAATCGAGTTGATTTCCACGTCAAGTCTACGGCAGTAGATCATTTGTGGTTGCATTGCTCTTTTTATGTCTAAATCTGATGAGTATTTCCATTCTCGCCTGCTTCAAAAGTCATTTCTTTTACGCAGGTGCTAATCCGTGTGGAAAGAACAACGGAGGTTGTGCCCACCACTGTGTCAGATATGGATCTGAATACAATTGTTCTTGTAGCGCTGGTTTTAAGCTGGAAAGCGATCTTCACAACTGCACAGGTAAAAGGAAATGAAAGGCTGTGACACGCTACGTTCACAAATCTTACTCGTGGACATAAATTAAAATGGTGCATGTAGCCGCAATACTTCTCGGTTCGTGTTGTGATTCCGCTGTACATTTGGCTCCCTTCCACAGTACGCCGGAGGAATTTGAAAACGGAGGTTTCACTCTGAAAACGCATCAAATGTTTTCCGTCCACACTACGCCAGAGAAATTTTGGATTTGTGTGTGAGGAAAACTCGGTCAGGCAAATCACATGATTATCGTGACGCCATCGCTTTCGAAAAGTTCCGTTTTCGTGACGGATTAGTGTGGACAGTAGGTCTAACCGTACAAATGAAGCTGCGTTTTCAAATTTCTCCGGCGTAGTGCAGCGAACTGTCGCATCTCATTATTTAAACTGACTAACCAAGCCGTCAGGCGTTTCTCCAGGTTTATAGTTTTGTAAATACTTACCAGCGTTAACAAAAGACATTTTCTCGCTCATGAAATGCTATCGTCGATCTCACATTTGAGAAACTGCTATCGCAGTTATCGCTTCGCGAAGGTTTTTCTCGAGAAATTTGGCCTGCCATTCTTTAGTCAGGAATGTGCCCGTAAGTCTTGTTCCAGACAAAATTCTTTGCTTTCATAAAGGTCCATTTAATTTAGCCATTTCTTTGTATACTGATGACGCTCCACACGGTTTTGTTCACACAATTTTTTTCACAGATATAGACGAGTGTAACAACACATCTGGCGGCCATAAATGTGCGCATATTTGCGTCAACACCGAGGGGAGCTTTGCATGTGCTTGCAGAACAAGATACAAACTTGAAAATGATGGTCTGACATGCAAAAAAGGTAACGTGCAAGAATACGATAATCATTGTTTGTGAAGTAAAAAAAAAGCAGTTATAATGGCCAAGAACGGCAAAGATAAACAAAGAGTATAAACCAATAATGCGAGCTCGAATCTCATGAATGTAACGCCGGTCCCAAGGGCGGGAAAATATCGTCACTGCTGTTTTTGCCTCTGATTGGCTGAATTTATGGAGCGAATTTTTTCCAACCAAGCATGGAACTATGTATAAAGCGTGGTCGACATCAAACTGAAAACTTCTCTATTCAAAATGTTTTCTATTTGTTATTAGTTCCCAAGACTTCGCCGACCGATAAAGCTACGTCAGACGACATGGAATGGGATTGGGTGGTGTTAGGGATTGTGATAGGAGCGGTGGCATTTGCGATTCTCTGTCTGATCTTGGGAATAATGTGAGTAGATGTTTTTATATTTGATTCGTATTCACTAGTGCCAAGTGTATCTGCCATATATACATTTTAGTGTTTTTAGTCGGTTTTGTAACAACGTTGAGATTATACAATTGCGAGGTTTAACATGTACGCCAGGAATCCTCTTTTCATTGGCTAAGAGTCCACCACGTGACCCGCCAATGATTACCTACAAATAACGGTATGCTCATGCGAAATACCATGGTCTAAATTTGTTTTGCTGCAAACAGTATTCTGCTCATGCGCGGATGCTGCTGTCATGCGTTATTGTAACCATACCCTGGGTGCCAGAGGGTTGCTTTTTTCGTGGCGAAGCCGGCATCAGTGAAAGGCCATCGTGGCTCTGTTGTGTGAAAATAGCAGATTGCTTTCCTTAGCTTTCAGAGAGTAAGTTAAATATGAAAATAAGCTTGTCGATCAAATAATAAAACAACTATTGAACTCGGTTGTCGCACAATGTTGTGATTTGTCAGTGTCTCGAAGATCAATTATTTACCTCAGCCGAAATAATTTATCTGCTCGCCATTGACAAATCAGTAATTATTAATTAATTATCAGTTTGTTCTCCGCTCTCGAAGTCTACAACATGAAGTTTACTCTTTCAAATGGGGTCGGAGAACTATTTATGGAAAGGCTTCGTTAGTGTTAGCAGTTTGTAACTGCTCAGTTGTCTTTTCTTGTAGTTCCAAAAGAGTGATGGGGAAGCGAAGGAAAGAAAACATCAACTCTCAAGAGATGACTGCTGTGAAAACCACAAGCTCAGTGGCGGCAACCAATTCAGTGGCAATCGAATCATAAAAGTGGATTTGAAAGGATTGTCCAAGATGACTAAAATCATACATCTTCTAACCTGTACTGTAAAAATACATATCTGATAGCCAAGTGATAAGAGAAGGGAAGAAAAATGTCACTGGGGTGTTTGTTTTCATGTAGAAATAATTTTGAAATAGATGCATAAAACTTCTGAGGTCAGGAAAGAAAATTCGTATTTTGAGCTCAATGGTAATGAAAGGGTTTATAACAAATAAGGATCGTTACACAGTGTTATGATGAAACTAGATACCACTTGGCTTAGGGAACAAGTGCTGTTTCATGCAAATCCCGTTTTCAAAGATTTCCTGAAGCTGCACGGATTTGTTTTCATAGTCACTGAAGTTGTTTAGTCGCAAGCCTGATCGAGCCCGTGTTGCTTAGCAACTTTAGTGACACCATGCGTACCTGTTATACTTGAGTGCTCGGTCTATGCTTTCAGTGGACAAAACTCTTTGCGGAATATGGCGCTTGTTTCTTTCCTTTAATGAACTAGCAGTCTGTCGAAACTGTATTCCAAGATTGGGTTGTGTTATTTGTGCTATTTTGTATTTAAATCGTAAATTTCTGAATGTCATATCATTGAAGTGGCATTGCTATTTACATGGAGTTGTACCTTTTCTTTTTGATTCTGTACGTAAGCAGTTTGCTGTTAAGAGTGCACTTAATTTTCAATTTAATTTCAGTCTAGCTACAATCAGAGACAAAGCCTTTTACAGTGGAACCCCGCCTTACAGTCTCCTCGTTAATACGGTCACCTCGTTATTACGGCCACTTTTTTTTGTCTCGGCGAAACGCCATACATTTTCCTATAAGAAGTCCCGTTAATGCGGCCACCCTGTTAACGTGTCCACCCCGTTAATGCGGCCCAATTTTCGAGGTGGGCAGTTGGTGATCGTATTGACGGGGTTCCACTGTACTACAAATTGGCATTCTCCATGAAAATGTCAGGCTTTAATTTTAGTTAGAAAAAAAACGCTAAAAAAAGTTGTCTTTAAAAAAAGTTTGCAAAAGTTATTAGAAAGGGATACAAATTATTTTGTAAGGATAAAATAGCAGGTGGGATAGAAAATGTAATTTTTACAGTGCAAGAATAGCTTTTCTGAATAATTGTAATAAAAAACTTTATCGTAAGACTTCATGCTAATTCGCATATTTTATCGTCGTCACAAACGACCTAGGTACGTATTTCAAATTTTATTGAACTTCCAGGTCAGCCCTCAAACACGAGCAGAAAACGCGAGGTAATTATTTTCCTATTTCCCGGTCTGAGGGTTAAGGGTAGGCTCAATCTCCAGCCGTGCGCACACCGTGAGGGAGGAGAGGATCGCTTGCGCACTGAAACACCCACGAATGGAGACTGAGCCTAAGAGCGAGGGGAGGCCCGTTGTCTACGCGAGGAGAACAGTTCATCGAGAAAGTCTTGTACCTGGAAGAACTCATTTTGCCACTTACACATTTTTCCAACGCAGCCACGATTGCATTACTCAACGTGGCGTGACATGTCATTGCGTTACGTTTCTGCGGTGCGCATATCCTGTTTGAATGGAGAGAACCGAGTCGAAACATTGAGTTAATATGCACAAAACACGATTTATAAGAAAATTGAATTTTTTTTTTCGCATAGGTACTCTCGCTTACCGTTTTCTGTACAGTTACAATATAAGCATGCGCGTAGACAGTAAAGAATCACAGCATCACTGTCTTACCCAGAAGAGAAAGGGGTATTTGTAAACCGAGAGAACTTGATACCCCAAGATCTGATCGACAAAAATGCAAAAGCTCTCTCCCAACACCACGCGATAATTGACCTCGACGAGTCAGCACGCAGGCATTCCTTACAAAGGTAGGCCTTTTGCTCAACTCGATCCCATTTAAAACGGTGCTTTGGACTCGTTTGCGTTGCGTCTCTCCTTTCCATGCAATAAATCTTGCTGTGTTAGAGAGACACGTAGCGGCTGAGCTCTGGAATTGCTGAACTCCGCTGCGCCGCAAGAGTTAAACCAGGATGGTGATAGTACGAGTTTTTCTCGTTTCATTAGTATGGATTGGAAGTTACACTATACTAGGTAGGTAGAACTCAGCTGACTTCCATATGTATCATTTTAGGTCCATAAAGCTTGATTAATTCCTTCGCTTGCGCGGAAAATTTGCGAGAATGTTTCCATCTGCTGACCATCGAATGAAATGAACTAGAGCATTCAACAGAGACAATGCTTGTCTGTTTCAATTGTGTGTGACAGCGAGTCGTAGTCGCTTCAAGTGGGTTCCCGTGAAGTAACTTCTTTATCGAACAATTTGGCTGCGCAGTTAACGTTTAACACTGGATGCTGAGAGAAGAATATTGCAATTATATGGAACAATATCCTCAGCTCAAAGATCCCGCAAAAACAAAACACAAAATTGTCTGATGGGGTTCAGGATATCGATTATTTGATAGCTCAAGACACATCGTCTGGCGCAGGATCAGTCGAAAGTATAATACAATTTTCTCGATTCTTTACTTTTCCCAAGTGAAATTATTTCTCAGTTTTTAAAATCCAAGCTGCCTTGCTTTTCCCCTGAATTGATTATCTTAGGTAGACGTTTGTGACGGCAACATTACGTAAAACAGTCAACGTTTTGCAAACAATAAAGCGTTGATAAATTATTTTATTAGGTAATTTACTTATGTTTTTTTTAAAGTCTTTTCCTGAAATAAATGAAACCAGCGCAAATGAATCATTCTCCTACAGAATTGAAAACCCAATTCATTTAATTCGTCTCAGACGTGTAGGCTTTCCAAGTACAACTGGCTTTGTTTGCGTGTAACAAAGACTAGTGGGAAATTTTGCAAATCTCTCGGACTGGCTAATTGTTATTAATTATGCGTGTTTATGACCTCTTTCAACGAGGTACTATTCGTCTTGTTATAAGCACTGTCGACGCTGTTTGAGACGCTGTTTGTGGTGAATTCAAGTTTTAAATGCAAATGAGTAATGGTAAAATAATGTTACATTCTTACCACTTTTCGCCCTCAGGCTGGACAAGACTGGTAACTACCGCAGAGTTGTATTAAAATGTATCGTCGACGTTTTGCTTGTTTCGTACGAAGTTTCTCAATACACAGTAACATTAACAGCCTCTGAAAATCAGCAACAAATGCTTGACGGAAAATTACCCAAATTGAATAAAGAGGCATTGAGTTTGCGCGAGGTGGCGTGACAAATCTTATGTATCCGTTGTCGACTTCACATTGCGTGATGTTGTATTGGTGAGTTTCATTTCATTGAAAGCGCGCGAAAATATACACGCGACGGTTTTTGCGACGAATGCGAAATGAAACAATGACAGGAAATGATTGCAAGACTTCCAAAGTATTTTAATTATTCAGTCTGTTGTGTGATCAATTTGCCAAAATGAAGCTACACTTTACAACTTAAAAGTATTGTACTTACAGTTCTTGGCTATAGTTAGATAAACTGAATTCAACGCACGAAGATGAGTCAAATCAACATTTCACCATTCAATTGATTTTAATACTGACAAATGTACTTTTATAATGAACATGATCTACCCAGTTATTCCAGTATAAATAAATCTGTAAACTCTGGAATATCAAAGCAACACTGATTGTGTTTAATCTTGAACTGTAAGACTGTCGGAAAATGCCAGGAAGTTGATCTGTTACAGGGCCTTTTATTTCACAGTCCACTAACAATTCTACAGACAACCATGTCAGTCGGAGATGAATTAACATGATGTGAAATAAAAAGATATATTCAAGCACAGCTTCGCGTTATGTGGTACTTTGGTTTTGCAATTTATGATTTACAATTAAATGAATTTATCTGACATTTTGTGTAACGTCATGTCCTGGCAACTGCACTTGTCACGCAACAGCTCCTTGTTGTGTGACGAGTTAAAAGATCAGCCACCATCGACCTCACAAACTCACTCTTGTTTTTCTTTTGACAGCTGCTTTACCAGATGACAGCAGTGTGGAGGTATGACATACTCAATGATTTCCGCTGTTTTCATTGATCATTCAACTTTGAACAGCAAAGACACAGTCTAACCTAGTAGGTTGCCGATGTTTTTTCGCTTGTCACGCAATACACAAATTGTGAGTGACAAGTTGCGTGACAAAACACTCTTTTCCACCCAACAAATCTTCTATAAATCAAAAACATTTTGTTTCTTATTTTAGTTTTGCTTTTATTTGTTTATTCGTTTAACGTTCGACTAACCTAAGATTTTTGTTCCATTACTTCTCAGATCCTGAGCAGGAGCCGAAGACAATCTGCGTAAGCTGTCTGTTTAAAACTATCGTTGCGGATATTTTGTCAAAGTGATTGTCACGCTATTCTTAGCTGACACGTTACTTGTCACGTCTATGATGCCGAATTATACTTAACTTGAACAGTAACTCTTTTATGACTTTTTTGTATTTATTACACGTTAATTATATCCGGGTGTTAGCATGTGAAATTCTTTCACGCTTCCCATAACTAACAAATTTGAAATTTCGTTAATTCCCTGATTAAATATCTCGGCTAATTTGCATTGATTTGTAGGGTACAATTCTAGTGCATTTGAGTGATTTGCAAAAACTGTGTTTAACAGGAAACTGTTTAACTAATATTGTTTTCCTTTACCCAGCTCAAGGACATACAGACTACCCTTTAACCCTCCTCCGCCAGAAGTATTCACTAATTCGGTGAGTTAACAGCGTGAATCAGTGCACAGTTTCCACAACTCACAACTGACTCCTTTTAGACATTACAAACAGGCGGCTCTTTTGGTTAAATTGTTTCCGGCTGAGAACTCACAGAGAAAAGAACATAACGTTCACCGTCAAAGGTGTAGGAGGAAGGGCGAAGAGTTAGTGTCACAAATCTCTCGCCAATGAACAGAGGTACCCAAAGGAGGCGTTCCTTAAAATATGTGTTCGGCAGGGAGTGTTGAGCTGGTTGGACGATCGATAAAATCGTCCCTTTGGCTGACCGGGAAAAGAGCGTTGCTTTGATAAAATTTTTTTGTTCAATCTGCCTTCACTCTTGATGGAAGAATGAATTATAGGATCACCGAAGTCTAAATTTGACCATGAAGCCACGCCCTACTAAGTAAGTAAGCTGATGATTTTGTTGTTGCTAAAAGGCTGAGAAGTTAATTTTGAAAGTTCCTACTGAGGGTCTACGGAGAAAAAGAACTCTTGGTAGTACGGAGCAACTGAAACATTCCCAGCACAAATTAAAAGCTAAGGTTAATTTAAGAGATAATTTCCTCTTGAGGTTTTTTCCCTGAAGGATTCTGAAAAGTTAGCTTGTTGGAAGTGAGTGAACGCCCAAACCGGTATTGTGAAATTTTGGACGAATACTCAGAAACCTTGCTGCTAGTGTCCGCGCGCTGAACATCGTGCGGTTTTACTGTAAAAATTGTTTTTTGTCCTTACTGCAGACTCTTCCGCCTAAAGGGGAGCCAGGAAGACCGGGAGAACAAGGGATCTCTGGGCCACCTGGAATACCGGTACATAAATCTTATAGTTTAGTTACGTCAAAACAGCAGTGGCGGATTAAGGGGTGGGGACCGTTTCCCCAATCCCCCTTCCTAACCCCTTTCCTATTTTTGCGGAAAAATATAACAGCCGAAAGCCTAAAATCGCTTTCCGCCCTAATAGAACAAAGATGGGCCAGTCAGCAGTCTCACCCCCACCCATATTTTAGCACCTCCGTATCCGCTACTGGCGCGGATAGTCCAAAAAAGAAACAAAATTATCTCGTGTTTCAGTGGGCAACCGAAAAGCAGTAAATGGCTGTTAGTTGTGTCATGATACTGTATGCAGTCTTGTGTTTAGGACATTGAACACGTGTGAACTGAACGCGCAACTGAAATGTTACAAATAAAGAAAGATTAAATGATCGCGGTTGACGCATGGGGCAGTTGCCCATTCGTCCAAGCAAATATTTACCTGCGTAGGTGACAGACCTTATATTTTTTGCAGAGGATCAGGGCCGCTGTGCCCAGTTCTTTATTCATGCGGTTTCCGGCCTGATGTAGCTGGCGCCACTTGGTTTTAATCAATTTCGATATTTTGATTCTGTTATTTTTCGCTATGGTATAATTAATTTTCTTCTTTTCTTCAGGGTGAAACTGGTGATGCTGGAGGTCCTGGAATTCTCGGTAGACCGGTAGGATGGACTTTGTTAGCAGACTTTCGTTAAATGCAAACCTTATACTCTCCTAGGAAAGTCAACAAATGCAATCTTCGTCAAATAAAAGCCCGTTTTCATGTTTGTATTCCGTTACCATGATCAAAGGGGGTCCAAAATGGGCGTTTGATAATGCCTGTCAAGATTGTTTTATGTGCAAAAAATTCAAACTTTCTGGAATTCCAACTATGGCAAAATTTCACTCACACTTAGGTTGTGATAGCGTCGTTGTGTGTTTGTGAAGAAAAGAACACATGCAACAATGAGGAAAAAAACGCATCGGGGAACCTCAATGATCGAGAACAAGAGAGAACCTTAATCTTATCTTGTCGAGGACTAATCCATAGCCTTTCGTATGGGCATTTCATTTTTACAGGGGGAAGTCGGAGCTCCAGGGGGTCAAGGTCCCCCCGGTCCTGTTGGAAGTGCCGGTCCCTCGGGAATAACACTTATTGGGGTGAGTAGGAAAGCACTTCATAGAAAGCATGACAATTGCACTGTTATTAATGATATTCATGCCACGAGATGGGTGAGGGTAGCTCGGAAAAGAACTGTTGTTGGTGACTGACGTTTCGACAACCTGAGCGGAAGTCGTCGTCAGAGTCAAGTGAGTAGTGTTTGTCAGTCGATAATATTTTAAGTCTGGTCCGTTGAAAGTGATTGGCCAGTTTAGCCGTGATGGTGCGTTATACAACCTCGGTAGTTCCGAGTTCAACTCCTCGACCGCGTTGTGTAAATAGTCGACTGGTCAGCCTCCCGCCATTTGGGATTCTTAACAGTTTATTTTCTATTTGCAATATTTGGTTATTTATTTAC